GGGGGGGAGAGGTCTGGGAGGAGGTTCGGGGAGGGAGGGGGAAGACGCGCGGTGTTAGGACTAAGGTTTGGCACGGGGGCCGGGGAGGTCTGGGAGGACATCCGAGGAGGGAAGGGGAAAGGCGCGCAGCGGGAGGAACGACGTTCGGGGAGACAAGGGAGGGTGGGAGGCTTGGGGAGATAGGGAGGAAGAGGGAAAGATGGGGGGAAGGGAGGTTCGGGGAGATTGATTGATCGATCGATTGATTGATTGATTGATTGATTGATTGTTGTTGTTGTTGTCGTTGTTGTTGTTGTCGGTCTTTTGTAGCGAACCGTTGTCGTGCTCCTATCTTTCGAACTTTCGGGGGGGGGGGTTCTGGGAGGAGGTTCAGGGAAGGAGGGGGAAGACCCGCGGTGTTAGTACTGAGGTTCGGGGAGACAAGGGAGGGTGGGAGGCTCGGGGAGACAGGAGGGAAGAGGGAAAGACGGGGGGAAGGGAGGTTCGGGGAGATTGATTGATTGATTGATTGATTGATTGATTGATTGGTTGATTGTTGTTGTTGTTGTTGTTGTTGTCGGTCTTTTGTAGCGAACCGTTGTCGTGCTCCTATCTTTCGAACTTTTGGGGGGGGGAGGTCTGGGAGGAGGTTCGGGGAGGGTGGGGGGAAACGCGCGGTGTTAGGACAGACGTTCGGGACGAGGTTCGGAACGGGGGCCGGGGAGGTCCGGGAGGACGTTCGGGGAGGGAAGGGGGAAGGCGCGCAGCAGGAGGAACGACGTTCGGGGAGACAACGGAGGATGGGAAGCGCGGGGAGATAGGGGGGAAGAGGGAAAGAAGGGGGGAAGGGAGGTTCGGGGAGATTGATTGATTGATTGATTGATTGATTGATTGATTGTTGTTGTTGTTGTTGTTGTCGGTCTTTTGTGGTGAACTGTTGTCGTGCTCCTGTCTTTCGAACTTTCCGGGGGGGAGGTCTGAGAGGAGGTTCGGGGAGGGTGGGGGAAGACGCGCGGTGTTAGGACAGACGTTCGGGACGAGGTTCGGCATGGGGGCCGGGGAGGTCCGGGAGGACATTCGGGGAGGGAAGGGGGAAGGCACGCAGCGGGAGGAACGACGTTCGGGGAGACAAGGGAGGGTTGGAAGCGCAGGGAGATAGGGGGAAAGAGGGAAAGAAGGGGGGAAGGGAGGTTCGGGGAGATTGATTGATTGATTGATTGATTGATTGATTGATTGTTTGATTGATTGTTGTTGTTGTTGATTGATTGATTGTTGTTGTTGTTGATTGATTGATTGTTGTTGTTGTTGTTGTTGTTGTTGTCGGTCTTTTGTGGTGAACTGTTGTCGTGCTCCTGTCTTTCGAACTTTCCGGGGGGGAGGTCTGGGAGGAGGTT